TTGGGCAAGACACTTTACCCTACCGCCTACTGGTGTTGGCCAGAGGGGCCGATGGCGCGATATGGCAGCCTCTACAACTGTAGTTTGCCTCCACCAGTGAATGAATAGTGGCATTGAAAAGCGCTGTATAAATCCAATCCATTATTATTATTGTTTTCTTTTTGGTACTGGAGAGATTGTTACAAAGTTACAGAATTAATTCAAATGCTAACAGTTCTTGTTCAGTCTTGACACATGTTCGAACATCCACGTAAAGAAATCCCAGAAAGTTGATTCTGTTCATTTGGACACAGCGCTTTCAGTGGGAGAAGCGTTTTGTCACTCATCTGAGCTAGCACCATTGCTTAACAACAGGCCGTGAGGTCAGTTTCATGATTGTTAATATCCAAAATATCCACTGGCTATGAGCACCATTCACAGAGAGGATATGACTGCAATAACAGCACTTTAAGCGATAAGAGGGTTGCTTCCCTACCCTTCAGCTCAGAGAATGTCAGCGCAACTCCACTGGGAGACTTTACCGCTCACGTCCAAGTGGACGTGGGGCGTGACTGGCAGGACTGCTCAGTCTAATCTGAACTCAAGTGGTGTTCTGTTATTGGACTTCTGTGCTAAGTTTACCCATTACAGTTTGCCTACAATAAACACCATGTTAAGGCAGCAGCATTTATAAGGTGAAGGTCATTTTGCATGCTTTTTTAAAATTATAGTACAATAGTAGTGACAGTAGTTTTATTATTTCCTTTAGGGGACCTCCCCAAGGGATTAATAAAGTTCTATTCTTTTGCACAGCATCAAAAGTAGTTTAGGCAGTTTTTTTCTTTTGATTATCCGAAGTGAGGTCTTGGGGCAGAAGCAGAAGCAGGGAAAGACTTCCCTCAACCCAGCCAACTCCTCCAGTTTATCTGGGGAAATGTCGGTGCATTCTCAAGCCAGCTGAGAGATATAATCTCTCCAGCGTGTGCTAGGTCTGCCCCGCGTCCTCCTTCCAGTAGGACAATCCTGGCTGGAACAGCTTACCCTGGAGGCAAACAGCTGGCTCCTTCAATGTGGAGGAGTAGCAGGTCTACTCTGAGCCCTTCCTGAATGACTGATTGGAAGAGTCCATCCACCCTTCGGAAAAAGTATTTCTGCCACTTGTATCTGCAATCTTATTCTTCGCCTTTTAAAGAACTAACAATAATAGAGTTAACAAAAAAGGAGACAGAGATCAACACATTTCTCTACAACGATGCTCCAGCAGAATTGGGCATCAATTAAAATGTGAAACAATTAGATTAAATGACTAGTGTGCCTGGTACTGACTAGTGACAATATTGACTATTAGTCATCTAGTCGCCTAATAAAATATTTTCTACTTGGGCTCAAGCTTTTAAACCAGCTGTGTAGCTGCATCGGTAATTCCCATCCCCTGTTTGCGCTTCCTGTCATGTGGAGTGCAGCTAGCGATTGTTCTAGTGACATTCGTTGGAATGATTCAGGGCGCGAATCTCCTGTAGCGTACTTAATGGTGTGTTTTTGCCTGCAGTGGGCCTGCTTTCTATTTCCCATGACTGTAAGCACTAGTTCTTTAACTAGTGGGCATAAGTATCAGTTGAACAACAACTTTGTAGCTAAACTATTCGTGCATACTATACGTATTTTATATTCCTCTGAGAATTAAGAGTTTATTTTTTCAATTTTAAGGGCTGAACTACAACAGTGTGCAAATGCTGGCTGTGAACGCAGATGCTCAGACTGTCAATCAAAGGAAAAGCAATGGCTGGATATGGATATTGAATCCAGAATCCACTGTGTTACATAATACTGTATCATAATGTTTAACATTTAATGCCACTCTGAGCTGCTGTTTACTTGATGATGTCTTTGTGTCCATTCCTGGCTGCTAGGTGGAGTGGGGTGGTGGAGGGAGAGTCCAGGCTGCCGTTTCCTCTTTCTCCTTCTAACAGGGCTGCTACCATATTACTGCTCAGCAGTAACTGAGTCACCTAACAAAAAAATGAAGATGAAATGGCAGAATCAGGACAGGAATTACAGCATTAGTAATACACACTATATATATATATATATATGCTAAAAATATATATTTCTGTATTAGAGTGTAAACGGCGACTTATATATAGGGTTAAACGAGCACAGAGGCTTATCCACTACTCAGCAGTCGTCTAAAGATACCACAGCCTCTGCATACACCCACAAATACTGTGTGACAAAAAACAGTCCAAAGCTTACGATTTTCTTTCACAGCCAAACTGCAAACTCAGAGCAGACGAGCGAACGTTTAACAAGCATGGGAAGTGTGCGTCTGTCTACTTCTTAATAACAGAGCCAGCTATACATCTCACAGCTGGGCTTATCCGCTGATGTGGCAGCGGCACAGGAAAAACACACTGCAATATGCAATTTCTTCACAAAGTCTAAAAGGAGCTACTGAAGCCTTCTGCTTTCACAGAAATGAGCTCGATTTAGCTCAGCCTTGTTGTCTTAGCAAAGGTTTGTGTTTGCCTTTGGCCATTCACATTAAAATAAAAAAAAGCATGAAAAACACGTGTTCTCATATGCAAACAACTGGATTGCACATATGAAGAAAACCACTAAAGGGCTACCTTTAGTACTCTTTTTGTTTAAAAAATAACCCCGAGGTTCCTATGACCTTTGTAAAACATCAATAAATAAACTGTTTCCATCAAGTTTCTTCCACTTATCCAATTCAGGGTTGCAGAGGGGGTGGGGCCTATACTAGGCGTCATAATGTGAGAGGCGGGGTACAACTCGAGCACCTTCTAGTCTGTCACTATAACACAGAGACCACCATTCAGCTGATTCTTTTGAAACCAGGACCTTCTTGCTGTGAGGCGACACTGCTGACCATCGCACCCTCATTCAGTTCGATTAAACTCAATTAAAAGGTCAACATTAAAAGAAATTCCATATATTATTTGGACTATGATGGTACACGACATTAAAGTGAAACTAACTAAACTGGAACTGGAACTAAACAGACTCTTGGAGCTGAAGGCTGTTCATGGTTATTGAACATTACTCCCGCTGCCTTTCTCGTTGTCTCTCCTATTTGTACTTTCATGTTTTTTTCTTTACATCAGTTAACAGGTAGTGTAACGTAAGTGCATGGGCCTCTACTGTGAAGTTGCTAATGGAGCAGTCATAGACTGCATATGAAAGATGGGCTTAACTTAT